AATACACACACACACATGCACACACACACACACACACATGCACACGCAGACGCACACACACGCACAACCACAGGCAGTACATATGTTGATGTTTTTCAGTTGTTTTATTCCTGTCCCAGTCTGTGACCCCATATGGGATTTTCTTGGCAAAGATACTGGAGTGGTTTGCCATTTCCTTCTCCAGAAGTACGTACATAGGATTATTCAATCACAAATTTAGAGCTGGCAGTGATGATAGATGCCACTGAACAGAACCCCCTCATTTTACAGATGAGGAAACTGAGGCTGAGATAAGTGACTGACTCACCCAACTCATATCTGAGACTGGATTTGAACTCAGGCCACCTAGCTTTACTCAATACAAGATAATCAGACATCTGGTAGCCAGAGGCCCTAATTTCACATCAGAAGGCTAACTGGCTCAAATCTGTTCCTGAAATTCCAAGTGTATATATAATCCCCGGACTTCATTCCGAGAGGCAGACTATCCCCAGCAAGGTTCTCTCTGCTCCTCCCTCAAACTTATTTTCCACTTGCCTTGTAAAACCTTAGCTCTCTAGGTCCTACGTGAGACTCGTCAGACCCCCGGTTATTAGCACTGTCCCCTTCTTGAAATCAGATTGTCCCCCATGCTTGGAATGCTCCTCTCCTCCTCCTCCTCACCTCTGCCTCTAAGATCCCCAGCAGCCTTGGAAGCTTAGTTCAACTGCTTCCTCCTCCATGAGGTCTTTCCTGACCCCCACCCCACCTCCCACAAAACTCAGTGTTCTGTCTTTCCTGCTCCTGCAGGCATAATGTTTTTACTTCATAGCTTAACTTATCTGTGCACATGTTCTTTTCCCCCAATAGAATAGGAACCCCTTGACGGCAGGGACCACTTCATTTTCCTCTTCGACTCATCAGCACCTGGCACAGACACAGATGCCATATGTGGAGGGGGCAAATCAACAAGAAATTATACATTAATTCCAATATAAGGTCCACAGACCCCGAAATCCCAAAGGCTTGGGGCAGCAGAGATTCATTCATTATGCCCCATGGTCTCAAACCACACCCTACCTTCCTCAATCGTCTGTACCTCTTGGTCACTTTGCTAGCTCTGAGGCTGTTCATCTCAGAAAGTCCGGAAGTTTGGCACAGCGGGGCCCTCACATCCGGCCACCTATCACCCTTGTTCCCATGTGCCAAGCTCAAGCTTGTCATCCGATATCCAACAGGACATAGAAGAGGAAAGACAAATTTAGCACCAGGCCAACCTTCTTTCAGAAACCCATGAAAGCAGATGACCCAATCACTCAAGCAATCCCACACTGCGTTAGACAGGTACAGGAGCAGTCTCATCTCTAGGAGATTGCTGAAGTCTCCACCCATTGGGGGCAGCTGATCTACACCTGCCCAAGCCCTCTCCTGGGCTCACTGACCTGTCTCCAAGAAAGGTCATGCACCCTTTGAAAAACTCCAATGGCCCTTTGCCAAAGAATTATAATACCAACTAACACCTATCTAGTGCTTCCACATTTACAAATGGCTCTCTTTATGTATGTACATAGCTCTTACTCCTGGACCCACTCTACAAACTCCTCCTGATCCTCACCTGTAGCCTGGCCACCTTGGAGAATCCTAAGTCCTTCTGTCCTAGGATCTTTGCCAAGAAAATGCCACGGACAGTATTGATGTGCTATGGTCCACGGGGTCACAAAGAGTCCAACGTGACTGAGCAACAGCAATCCTTTGGCATAGGTTTTATCATCCCCATTTCTCTGATAAGGAAACTGCAGCTGAGAGAGGTTAATTGACTTGCTTAGGGTCACACAGGCATTACAGGTTGAAGGGGATTTGGAACCTGGGTCTTCATGATTCCCAGGTCCAGAAATCTATGCATCACACCATGTGCTATCCAGCAAGCCCAATGCAGAATGCTCTCCATCACAGTCCGTAACACACAGTAGGTGCTTACTGAATGCTTGGTGAATTGAGTTGAATAGTGGCCTCTAAGCCAGGCAGGCTTGGCCCATCACTACCTCAGGAATACAGCAAGCCCAATGCAAACAACCAGTGCTACCTCCCCTCAAAATTAAATTTGGGAAATTGAAATGGAAGTTCATGCCAACCTCAGTTTCTTAAGAAGACCTATAGGACTTTCAGCATCCAAACCAGCACCTTGGCTTTTGGATTTCCCATCTAACACTCATTGTGGACAGGAGCCCCTACACAACAGCACTATTCCCACTGCAACCTGCCTGGGGAGGGGTAACACCACCACATTTTAGGAGCTTGGTCAGCCTCACTAGCAAACTCAGGGCTCTCCTGTTAGCCTCCAGGGGCCACTCCTCTCTTCCCAGGCTAGGACTACCATTAAATGTTTGTGTCACAGAATAGTGATCTGGGGAGGGGGGGTTGGAGAAAGTGTTGGACCTGGAAGCAAGATCTGGGTTCAGAACACTGAAAACCTCTGTGATTATAGGCAAGTTGCTTAACTTCTCAGACTCAGTTTCCTCCTGTATAAAAGAGGGCTAACAGTCAAGTCAGTTAATCTTTCCAGACCTGCCTCAGTTTCCCCATCAGTACAATGTGGACTCCATACCTCTTAGGTCCCTTCCAGTTCTTGAGCTATGACCAAGAGCATTTATCATACAGGGATATAGGTAATGCATTAGAAGAACATCAGTCTACCCTCTGAAATGACCTGGATGAAAAATATTTCTCTTTTTCTCTATTTCCCAATTGCTCTTCTAAAATCAATTTTTTAAAAAATCCACAACACTCTACTGGAAAACTCTGATCACTCTCATTCACCCTTCTTTGGAAGCACCGAATATGAACCAGTATTCTCCTAGGCTCCTTTGTGCAGGGTTGCCTATAGCAGTGGGGGCTGCAATTGGGGGGATCCTGAGTAAAGAGGGGGAGGCCCTTGCCAAGTAGTTCAAGGCAAATCCCTAATAGGTTCCTTGCTTCCTCTGTGACCCAAGTCCCAACACTCTCCGAAGGAAGGTGTTACCCAAACCCTAACCCTGCGCCCAGCTGTAGTGAGGAGCCTCACGCATAGTAAGCGCTTAAGGCACTAAGTGTGAGCGTCCTCAGCTTTCTCCTCTGTAAAATGAGGCCCCTAGAGTTCCCTGAAGATTTAAATCTGTGCCCCAAATGCCAGGGCCATCCCTGCTCCTATCTCCCCGACACAGAGAGCGACTATCTCCTCCTGTCTGGCTTCTAGGGGCCTTCAGCCCCCTCCCGCCCTCCTGGGGCCAGTGATTTCCCTTGATCTCTTGGGCACTTCCTCGGGGAATAGGCAGGAGAGTCGCTTCTCCTCCCCTCCGAGCCCAGCACAGCTGTCCCTTTAAGGGGCCCGGCTGGTGGGATGAGCAGCTACATTCCTCCCCGGGTAGGGCTGCTGTCCCAACACGCCAGAGAAGCTACAAATAACCTGCCAGCAGAGAGCCCGGGAGGGGGAGAGCACAGCACAGGGAGAACCGGGAATCCGCCAGGCTACTCACTCCTCCTCCAGTCGGGAGAGGCACAGAGCCCGGGAGGCCGAGAGGGAGCGAGGGAGAAGCAAGGAGCCTTTGAACAAAAACAAAAACAAAGCTTCATCATCTAAACAGAAGCGCACAGAGGGCTCTCCTAGCTTGGGTTGGGATTGCTGAAGGCAAGCAGAGCACCCAGAGCTCTCCCACTACCTGTGGGGGGAAGCCACGTTGGGCAGCCTCCGGGACTTGTGACACACGGACCCCTACTCTGAGGGACAGGGGGTCAGTGGGTACTGGATCACGGACCTTTCCTGGATCACTAAATTGATTTGAGGATGGGGGGTGGGGTCGGTTTGGAGTTCAGGGAAGGAGCTCAAAGTTGTCTAGGCGGCTGCTGAGCCCCGGGATGCATCCACTCCCCCTATGCCGCCCAGCCCAAGCTGAAAGGCCATTCTACTCGAGCCTCACTCACACCCGGCAGACGCTTCGCTTGCAGGCCCCCAAACAAGTTATTAATATGGAGCAGATGAGGCAACAGATCCCCTCCCACCATGTCTGTCTCCTCGCATGGGCCAGGGGTTCTCGGGGCTGAGGGAACGGGGGAAGGGGGGCTGGCAGCTGCAGTTTAAGGGGCTGAGATGGAGACTTTCTCCCTATCTCGCTGCACGATTCCGACTCCCCCGCCCCCCTTCCCCATTCCCCCTACCGATCTAGGGCAGGAAGCCCATTGGTAGCATCCAGCAGAGGGAACCCCAAACAACGCCAACCCAGAGGGAGATGCAGCCGCCAAGAAGCACAGCCCTGGGACCCTCCTGGAGGGGGAGGTTGGAAGGCTGGGATGGCTTGTTCCTCGCCCTCCCTAACTCTCCTAACAAAGTATTCGGAATCTTCTTTGGATCCCACCGAGCTCCCCTTCCCAGCCCACCAGCTTTCCCTAAATCCTGGAAGGGAATTCCGATAGAGTTTAGCTGGTTCGGGAACATCCCCGCCCTCCCTCCCCTTTCCTTTACGCACATTCCCCCGGACCACAGACACTGAGATCTTCTAACAACTGGAGAGTGAAGCAGACCCCTGGCTCTTTCAAAGAGCAGACGTAGGAAAGGAGAGCCGGAGGTGTCCACCCGCAACCATGCCACACTAAGAGTCAGGGGAAGTTTGGGGACACTCAGTCCCAGTCCTGAGCTTCGAGTCCCTGCAGGAATCCTACTGGGGTGTTCTCCAAGATGTATGCGGCGGCTGGTGCAGGAGTCCTTGGGATTCCAGTGCAGTGGGGGGATTCTTGGGGATCCAAGTCCGTGTGTGTGTGTGTGTGTGTGTTGGGGAGGAAGCTGGCTCCCAGTGGAAGGGGATCCAGGTCTTAGTATGGTGGGGAATCCAGATCTCAATGTGGGGGGATCTTCGGAGATCTGGCCCCCAGAGCATGGGATCTCGGGGATCAGGCCCCAGTCCTGACCTATCTCGCTCTCTTTCGGGCCCCGAAGCGCTCGGGGACTGAGGGACAAACTTTCCCCTATCGGGGCGGGGGCGCCCGCTTACCGTGTGCGCGGAGCAGGGAGCCGAACAGCAGCAGCAACAGCAGCGAGCCCCCCGGCCGCCTCATGGTGCCCCGGCCGCCGCCGCCGCCGCCGGTGCGGGCGGGGCGGGGAACTTGGGACAGGGTGTCCGGTGGGGAACGGGCTCCCGGCCGCCGCGGCACTGCCTCGCTGGGCTCGGCAGGCTAGGCGGCGCGGCACTGCCGGCGGTTCCGCGCGGCGGCGGGCGCGTCCAGCGAGCTAGTGGAGAGCGAGCGAATGCCTCGGGCTCCCTCCGGCCGCTGCTCCCTCCTGCGCCTCCGGAGCTGAAGCCGTGGCGGAGCCAAGCAGCCCCACCAGGGGACCGGGGGGGGGGGGGGTGTCCCGGGCCCGGCCGCCCCGCCCCCCGCCGCCGCCGCCACCGCCGCCGCAGCCCCTGCAGCAGCCGCCGCCGCCTCGGCCCGCCCCCC